TTCAAAACTAAAAGACTCACAAATATTTGGTTTTAGTAAAAATTAAAAAAAAGTTAATTAATTTATTATTATTTTTTTATCTTCCGTTCATTATAACTCATCAGAAACTAAGTCATTTAAGAAATATTTGGTTTTAGTAGAAATAAAAAAAAGTTAATTTTTTTTATTAGTTAATATTAAAGATTAATATAAAAATTTAATTTTTTGGCCATAAAGCTTGATTTTCATGCATCCGTTGTCCGACGATAGATGATACGATATTAATTTTATTGGTTGAATTTAAAGATTTTGATTAGTTAAAAAATTACGCAGTTTTTAAATTGATTGCATTTTCATTCATCGGATATAAGATTTCCTTGTAATTGGTGTCATTTTATATTTTAATTTCCATAACAATTTCGCTGTTTTACTTATATGAGTAGTAAGCAACGTTTTCGAGAGAGGAATTTTAATAAAGCATATACAGTATACAGGGTGGGCCACTGAAAACTTACAATGGCTATAATTCTTAAACCAAAAAAGATATAAAAAAAAAATACCGTTTCTATAATATCGAGGGGGAATACACCCCTACTCACTTGAAAATCTTAAATGGCAACACCCCACTTGTGGCGCCTTTTTGGAAAGCCCATGAAAAATGCTAAACGATGATCATAAAGTTTTTAGGGTGAAATTGAAAAACTACCCCTTACACGAAAAATTAGGTGGACATTAATGAAAAAAGTGATTTTTTCTCAGCATAAGTTACAAATTGAGACCCAGCTCAATGAGGCAAATGAGGTATTTTTCAAACCACCCCGACCCACCCCTAGGTGCCACCCACTCACTTCTAATCTCAAGATAGCGATACCCCACTTGTGACACTTCTTTGGAAAGCTAATTGAAATTGCTAAACGATGGTCATACAGATTTCAACTTCTGTCTTCTTTCAACAATTACTGGTAAGTAGTGATAAGAAATGTAGGTTTGACAATTTGAAAGAAATTTAAAATGATAATTTATTTTAACAATTGCTCAAAATGACAGCCGTTTCGTTCCATACAAAAATACAAACGATTTTCAAATTCTTCTCTCACTTTTTGGAAAGTCTCTCTCGGAATATTTCGACATGCTTCAGTTATCCTCTGCCGCAATTCTTGCAACGAACCTAGTTTTGTCTTGTAGACTATGGATTTAGTGTAACCCCACAAGAAAAAGTCTAAAGGAGTGAGATCAGGTGACCTTGGCGGCCACTCGATTGGACCCCTTCTGCCAATCCATTGCCTTGGATAATATCTATCCAACCACCGCCTTGTGACAATAGAATAATGCGGAGGGGCTCCATCTTGCTGAAAGTGTATGAGGTCTTCATTAAGAGTTAAATTTCCTTCCAAATCTCTTTGATTTTCAACCTCAATTCATTGGCTGGCTCTATCAAATTGTTCAGCATTTCCACATAAGCATCACCAGTCAAATTTCCGTCGATGAAAAATGGACCTATAATTTTATCGCCTAGTATTCCACACCAAAGATTGAGCTTTTGGGGATGTTGGATGTGTCCTTCAACAACAATATGCGGATTCTCATCGCTCCAGTATATGCAGTTCTGCTTATTCACAATTCCGTTTAAAAAAAATGAGCACTCATCACTAAAACAAATATTTTTAGTAAGTGAAGGTTCCCTTCGAATTTCCTCCGTCATTAGTTCACAGAACTGAATCCTTCTATCTGGATCGTCGTCGCCAAGTTCCTGCAGAATCTTCATTTTATAGGGATGGAATTTGTGCATTTTCAATACTCTCCTGACAGATGTTCGAGGTATACCTGTGATTGATGCCAACTGGGGTGTTGATGCTTCTGGATTGACCGATACCTGACCAATAACTTCTTACCTAGACCATCTGCATTTCTTCATTCAGTACCCTGGGCCCTGTCCTTGTTTTATTTTTGACCGACCCAGTTTCTTGAAACTTTAAAATCAAATCTCTAACATAAACGTGACTTACGTTTTTGTCCGGATTTCTCTCATTGAAAGCACGGGCCGTTCTCAAATAACACATACCTTCAGCACCATAAAGAAAAACTATTTGAATTCTTTCTTCCACAGTATAAACCATTTTTCTTTCAAATAAGCGAATCAAATAAACATTTAAAATACCACCAAATTTGCAAACGATTGAAAATCGATAGAGGACAGTGCAAAAACGCAAAGATATGCCGGTTTAAGATTCCTGTTTGTTGAAATTAAAAAAATAGATGATAAGGAAGAATTTGCGTTATCGCAAAATTAAGCTATAAAAACATCTTTGTGTTGCCTTTTTTATTATCTACATTTAAAAATGGCATTGATGAGATTAGAAGTGAGGGGATGGCACCTAGGGGTGGGTCGGGGTGATTTAAAAAATGTCTCATTTGCCGCATTTAGCTGGGTCCCAAATTGTAACTTATGCTGAAAAAATTACTTTTTTCATTAATGTCCACCTAATTTTTCGCGTTAGGGGTAGTTTTTCAATTTCACCCTAAAACGTTATGATCATCTTTAGCATTTTTCATGAGTAGGGGTGCCGCCTAAGGGGTAGGTCGGGGTGGTTCAAAAAATATGTCATATGTATTCCCCTTCGATATCATAGAAAGGGTATTTTTTATTTTTTTGATATCTTTTTTAGTTTAAAAATTATAGCCATTGTAAGTTTTCAGTGGCCCACCCTGTATAGCATATAACTAACTAAATATATATATATATATATATATATATATATATATATATATATATATATATATATATATATATATATATATATATATATATATATAGAGATATATATATAGATATAGAGCATAGCCAAAGATATTTGGCTATGCTCTATAATATCTATAATCTCTCCTGAACAGAGTGCGGACCGTCTGGCTGCCGGTAGACGTTGCGTTCACCAATGCGCATCATATTCAACATCTGTTTATTACTCGCATCACAAACTCTCCCTGTATTTCAGTGACTAAGGAGGCTAGGACAAACCTATTTGTAGCATATTTAGTTTCATAAGAAAGTAGCAAAGTAATGTGAAAATCGCATCATTGTATCTCTACTCATATAAACGAGAAATTCCACAAAACACACGAAAATGGAATACCTTGTACAGAGGTGATGCGCAGTAGTGAAACGCAGTAGTCTATCGGCAGGTACCGTGGTTGTAGACTTAAAAACTGTGTAACATACCCGAATTTGATTTATTTATTTGGATTTTTTGCTTGGATAGATGGAAATTAACTATACCATCCATTTATATACCTTCAATCTATCTGCAAGTTCGAATTCCAAACTCAAACCTGCCCGAACATCAAGATGGATGGGGATCGTTATATCAGATGACAAACTGCTCCGCGTGTGTGCGTGTCACGACAAGAACCGATGCCGCCGAATAATGTTCGGCTCGTCGCATGAATAATGTCCCCGAGGAGATAAAAAAGGGAAAAGGGGAAAGCAGCGGAAAGCAAATAAAATCAGAGGATATTTATTTTCAAAGGGCTTTGGCATAAACGTCTAACAAGCTGCAAAGGGAATAATTGTTTTACTGAATAATAAAATTCCTACATAAGAAGCCTAATATTATTTATACTAATAGACTCAACAATTTTATATCAGATTTTTTTTTAATATACAGGGTGGTCCGAATTGAATTCCGGAAACTTCGGCAGCATATTCTGCAGATAAAAATAAGTAAAAAAGTTCGTATAAATATAGGTCCTAAAATGCTTAGTTTCGGATATACAGGGTGTAGAAATTTCATTTTTATTTCGATTTTTTTAAAATAATTTCTGATGTAACGTCAATATTTGGATGAAAATTGGTGTCTCAGGGTTTTTTGACATGAGAAATTTGATTTTGATGTCAATATTACTCCTACTAGTAGAGGGCGCTACCTACATGTGTTTTAACTGTTTTGAAGAGTAATAACTTTTTGTCCGTACCTGTATAAAACTACCGAGTAAAAAAATATACATCTCTGTGACTTTTTACGTAAAAAATGTCTCTTTGTAAAATAAATAGTTAATACATGTCATTAGTGACGAAAAATAAACACGTAGAGTTAGATGGTTATTTCACTGAAATAAATAAATAATGGGAAATTTTTATTTTTTTTTAAATCAATCAATCATGATAAAAAAGTTTCTGTTGAACTTTTGGCACAAAAACATTTCAAATTGATGATTTCAGTCTAATAACTACCGTATGATCGAATAAAAACGGCGTCAGCGATGGCTATGAAATGAAGATCGCTGTCATTTTATAATGTAAAAGTATATGGGAAATGTCATCGATCGTCATTTCCAAGCCAACTGGACGCCATTTTTTTTCGATCATACGGTATTTAGCCAACATATGTTTAATTAAAGTCAATGATGACAGGTATTGATAATTTCGATTCCAAATATCTCGAAACCTATTACTCGTAGCGATTTTACCAAGAGACCTTTTTTATGTAAAAAACGTCGTAAATGTATATTTTTTACTCAGTAGTTTTATACAGGTACGGACAAAAAATTGTTACTCTTCAAACCGGTTAAAAAATATGTAGGTGGCGCCCTCTACTAGTAGGAGCCATATTGACATCAAAATCAAATTTCTCATGTCAAAAGACTCCCAGACACCAATTTTCAATCAAATATTGACTTTACTTCAGAAATTATTTGGAAAAAATCGAAATAAAAATGAAACTTCTACACCCTGTATCTCCGAAACTAAGCATTTTAGGACATTTATACGAACTTTTTTACTTATTTTTACCTGCAGAATATGCTGCCGAAGTTTCCGGAATACAGTTCGGACCACCCTGTATATGTGGACCAGGTTATACGAGAATGGAAAGAAATAGCACCAAGAGGTATCCCAATAGACCGACAATATTTTCTGAATATACTACTGTTTGCAGACAAAGATTACCTTACAAAGGCAGATTCACCTCCCGGACAAGATAATAACAAAATATGATGGAAAAATATCTACCGAAAAAACAAAAGTGATGGCACACTGGGGCAAAGACGGAATCCGCACCAAAATAATTTTAAGAAATAAACCACTACAGCAAATATCGGACTTCAACATCTTGGGATGCCACATAACCTATGATAAAGATAATGACTACATGAAAAAAATAAATAAATTCCGGTCAGTGTGTGGAACTATCGCAAAAACTTTTAAAAACAAAGCCCGGCTAGAAACGCAAGTAAGACTATATAATACACTAGCGGTACCGACTACCACAAAAGTTAAAGAACAAAGACTCAGAACAACGGAGATGACGGTCTTACGAAAAATTAAAGGAATAAGTAGAGAAGATAGAATGAGAAATGACACAATAAGAAATGAACTAAAAATACAACCATTAGAAGAAAAAGTGAGAGTATATAAAAACAAATGGAAGGAACATGTAGAAAGAATGTCAGATGATAGAATTCCACAATACGAGATCAACCTCCAGGAAGGGGAAGTATTGGACGACCAATAGAGATGGTGAAGCGGAACAGGTTTTTAAACCAAAACCATTGTGTACTTGAAACATAAAAAAAAAGTTTTTATAAATCTCAAAACCAAGCTATTTTAAAGAAAATAAACTAAGAATGTTTTAAAGTAACTTTAAATCCACTACACAACTCACACACTCGGATAATAAAATTCCCGGTATCTTTTTCTAAGAGAAGAAAAAAAAACATTTTTAAGCGATTTATTTCGAAAGTTTCCGGTCGTTTGTCCTCTGTATAGTTCTCTCCAGGTGAATCTCGGAAACTTTTTCGATTAGAAACGTATACATATATCTCTTTCTCTATATGAAAAAAGTCGAAGTTTTGACGAAGTTAACAATTTCCTCATCGTCAAGGATTTGATTAATTTTTGAACAACGAAGTTTTTATATTGGTTTTTTGTATTTCCTTTGAGTTTCGAGAGATAAAATTGATTTTGTCAAGTAAAAAAAAACAAAATATTAGATATAATCGAATTTTTTTCGTTAACTTTTGGTACTGACATCCTATTCATTCGGATTGAAAATGGAAATGTGGCAAATTAAAGCGCTACTTCAAAAAAAATTGTGTGTGCCCCAGTGGTGGCTCGTGGATATTATTGTAGGGAGGTCAATATCTAAAAATATTGCGTCGATTTTTTTTAAGACGCGACGTTTAGTTAAAGGAAAATAAATCTAAAAATAAATACAAATTATGTTGAAATGAAACCTACCCTTACATTTTTAAACAGGTGGTCTAGTGCCATTTCACTAAAAATCCAGTCAATGTTCTTTACACAAATTTTTCACGGTAGGATTTAAAAGACACTTAAATAATAATGTCTCAAAAATATAAATACATATATACACATATACACATTTCTAAAAGTTTTATTTCACATTTTTTATATTTTAAGTCAATTCTTTCTCTAAACGTTTTTACGGAAACTAAAACAAATTTTTTTTTTCGATATTAAAAATTTAAATATTGATTTATATTGACTAAACCAAACATTATACGCGATACGCGATAAACGATACAAAAACCTAGGTTATTTTATAATTTGAGTTTTTATAAACACCCAAACTGCCTGAAATTTTTCCAGCGATTCCAGCGAAATCCTGTAATATATTTATATAGAAATAATACACTCGATATTTCTTATTCAACTATATTGATTCTCAACTAATAAACAATATTACAAATTACAATAACAACACGCTAGTTTTTTTTTCTAGACAAAGACAAAAAAACCGCCACATTTTATATCGTCTGTCAGTAAATTACCAAATACAAGTGTATATAAATTTGCCTACCTTACAAGTCCTTTTATGAATGACGCGGTCAATGGTCAATAACAACAACAACAACAAACAACGTTTTATTGTACAAAAAGCCAAAACAGCTTCATCGACAAAGCACTCACAAAACAACAAAAGCACAAAAAAAAAGAAAATACAAACAACAAATAATACAATTCAAAAAAATTTAAGTCTTTAAATTTACAAAAAGAATATACATGGACAATTGCAGAACAGTACGCAGTAAACTTTGACCAGTGTGTGAGATGATCAAAATTTGAAAATTCAAAATTGTTCATAATTAAGCATCAACAAAAAAGTCGTTTACCGCATATAGGGCTCTCTCCAGTAAGTATGATTTTAGAGCTTTGCGAAATGCAGGAAAGAATGAAAGCGACTTGATATTCAAAGGCAGATGATTGTACATTTTTTTGGCATTGTACAGTATTGAACCTTTAACTAGTTCTGAGCTTGGGGCTGGCAGATAAAGATCGTGCTCTGCATTCCTAAGTGGATAGTTATGAGATGGCCTTTCGGGAATAGCAGATATGTGCTTGCGGATTAAGCAAACGGATTCAAAAATGAATAAAGACGGAAGAGTCAGTATTTTAAAATTTTTAAAGAAATTCTGGCAGTGAGTTCTATTGTTCAGTCCCAATAAATATCGAACTGCTCTCTTTTGAAGTCTGAAAACACGATCAAATTTTGTTGCGCAGCAAGTACTCCAGAATGGAAGGGCATAACGAAGATGTGACTCAAAAAGGGCATAATGGGCTATTCTAGAGGTTGAGAACTTAAGTTCCTTAGAAACTGATCTTGGCGCAAAACAGGCAGCGTTTAGTTTTTTTGATAGAGCTTCGATGTGAGAGTCCCATTTTAACGAGTTGTCTACAAGTCCTAAGAATTTCACAGAGTCCACGACGTCAATAGTGGTGTTATTAAGTACAAAAGGTTGTATAGTACTTCTATATGACAAAACTTTAGTTTTTGATAGGTTGAGGCATAGGAGATTAGAATCGCACCAAGACTTAATGGTGTAAGTCACTGGATATAGTATCATATAGTGCCTCAACATCTGGGCCGCTCCAAGTAAAACTAGTATCGTCCGCAAAGAGGCAGATTCTACCGCTAATGTCTAGATTTGCAATGTCGTTGATAAACACCAGAAACAAAATAGGGTCAAGTACTGAATCCTGATGGACACCACATTCTGTAGGCTTACAAGAAAACATAGACGTATCAATCCTCACAAGCTGCCTTCTGTTGCCAAGATATGAAGCCATTCGAGCGGCACTCCACTGAAACCAAAGTATTGCAATTTGTTAATTAAGATATTATGATTTACAATATAAATTATATCTATCGCACCTTAACCCATTATATTAGTATACCTTACCTTGTAATACGTAGTATACCTTACCTTGTTGGCCTTACGAGCCGCGTCACTTGGAGTTTAATACGTGTAAAACACAGCGGGAACGAAGGACAAAATGAAATTTTGACCGGCAGAGAAGAAAATGGGTAAAATAAAATGTTTTCAAGCGAAAATTGGACAAATTGAGAATCGTTTTGAATATTTTAAGATGAAAAAAAGTGATCTACAAAAAGTATAATTTAAATAAGTTTTTCTAATTTTCTCCTAATGTTTTGGGGGGGCATTGACCATTTGACCTCATGTTTAAGCCGCCTTTGCCTATAAGGTCAGACAGTCTAGACTGAAAAAAGAACGTCTAGTTCAAAAAAAAGGATGAGTTCTTTCATAATTAAAAATAGAACATCTAAATATACTAAAAATTCAGTTTCATAAACACTTAAGGTTTTGTTTAATCAATTTATCTTTCGCGTCGCTTAAGGGCAATTAATTTGGCAGCCGCCTCCCCAACAACAACAAACCCAGCTGGTTTTCGGAGGAAAAAACAACAACTTTTGTTTGTCGACCATTGAAATTCCCTGTTGACGCTTAATAATTTTACAAACGGAAAACGAAAATCTATTTAAGTTGTAGCGACAAAAGAGTTAGAGCAAATTTTAAGTTAATTAATTACCGTTTTCGCCACCATTTTACTCCCACTTTTCAAAGTCGCCTTCTCGCGATTTCTTTCTTCTCTGTTTCTATTCTTCTTCTTTTTCCTTTGTGTTGTCCGGGAAAATATTTAGACTAATTCTCATTCCGTGTTTCGCTTGTTTTGGAGTTATTCCCAGTGGCGGCTTAACCATGAGGTCAAATGTTCAATGCCCCCCCCCCCAAAAAAAATGGAGAGAAAATTAGAAAACTTATTTAAATTATACTTTTTGTAAATCACTTTCTTTCATCCTAAAATATTCAAAACTATTCCCAATTTGTCCAATTTTCGCTTGAAAGCATTTTATTTTACCCATTTTCTCTACTGCCGGTCAAAATTTCAATTTGTCCTTCGTTCCCGCTATGTTTTACACGTATTTAACTCCAAGTACCGCAGCTCCTGACGCCAACAAGGTAAGGTATACTACGTATAGAAAATATAATGGGTTAAGGTACGATAGATATAGTTTATATTGGCCATTGACCGCGTCATTCATAGAATGATTTCTAAGGTATATAAGCAACTTTATATACACTTGTATTTGGTAGTTTACTGACAGACGATATAAAAAGTGGCGGTTTTTGTCTTTATCTAGAAACCAGCATGTTATTATTGTAATTTGTAATATTGTTTAGTAGTTGAGTATTAATATAGTTTATTAAGAAATATTGAGTGCATTATTTCTATATAGGGCGGCCCATCGAAAACGTTCCGCAAGGCGTAACGGCCTTGCGGAACATTGCGGAACATGCATTCATAAAAGGATTTGTAAGGTAGGCAACTCTATATACACTTGTATTTGGTAGTTTACTAGCTTTTTTCGTTTTCCTGTTATTACCGATTCTGAACCGTCCTAGAATTGTGATGCGTATGCGCAGAAGGAAATATGAAGACATTATTTCATTTGCGCATGCGCCGGAGAGTTCTAGGACGATTCAGAATCGATAATAACAGGAAAACGAACAGACCTACTGACAGCCAGATATAAAAAGTGGCGGTTTTTGTCTTTGTCTAGAAACCAGCGTATTATTATTGTAATTTGTAATATTGTTTATTAGTTGAGAATCAATATAGTTCATTAAGAAATATCAAGTGCATTATTTCTCATATAGCTAGAAAAATTTCGCCGTTTGGGCAGTTTGGGTGTTTAGAAAAACTCAAATTATAAAACAACTTAGGTTTTTGTATCGTTTATCGCGTATCGCGTATAATGTTTGGTTTAGTCAATATAAATCAATATTTAAATTTTTAATATCGAAAAATAAATTAGTTTTAGTAGTGGGGTCGGATAGGTCTGAAAATCATAAAAATATTTCAGTTTTGGCGGCGAACATGAATTTTTGGATATGGATAGTAAACATACCAAGCATCAAAAAACGCCCCAGACCCAAAATTTTGGGACCCCCCACCACTGGTACGACGTCATTAAAGCGGGGGGTCAATAAAACGGCTCTTAGGTATAGAAACACTATTTTTTTTGTAAAAATCCATTTTAATTTTATTTTCTATACTAAAATAATTTATTTGAAAATATTTTCAACTATTTTTAATCATATAGCGGCCATTTTGTTATATAAATGTCAAAATTTTGACATTTTTTCTGAAATTTCGAGTTTGATATCAATTTATAGGTTTTTGGGGTTA